CCCTGCCAGCAGCCTGGCCCGGTGCGGGGCGCACGAGTGCCGTGTCCGGCCCGGAGGCTGCGGGGGTGGCTGCGCCCCCCGACCCGGCTCGGGCACCCGGGAGCCCGGCGCGGAGCACTGCAGGCGGCTGCCCGTGCCAACCCTCTCCTGCTTCCCCACAGAGCGCTGCCGCCTCGCACACACTGCCGGGGCTCCCCTTCCCCGCTGCCGCCTTGTGGGAATCTCGCTGCCTTGTCGGCTTTTGGCTTTGGCAGCAGCTGACGAGTGGGTCTACACTGCCCATCTGGTGCAGTCTCAGCTTTGCCGCTAGCACTCTCCTTGGCTGCTTAGATACATTGTAAGATCATGCCAAAGCATAAAGATGGAGAAAAACAAATAGCTCCCGAGAAGAAATCCATGACAGAGGGCCAGTTTGTGCATCACAGAGGATCTGGCGTACCAAGTATAGTAGGTCCCGCGCTAGATTTCCTGGCAGGCTAAAAAAAGCTTCCATGCCTCAAGGGATACCATCCCTCAGCAACACGTTGCAAAGTCCGGAGTCTCTAAGTCCCCCTGAGCAGTTACCACTGTTTGGCACTTGTTTGTGCATTTAGCTACACTTCTCCATAGCAACCACACAGATCTCAGCTTGCCTTGCCACCAGCCAGGAGCGGGTGTGCAGAACGCGCTCGGAGTTGTGTTGGTAGGTGCACAGGCTGGGTGCTGATTCCCGTCTGTTCTCCTGAGGTGGGGACCCACACTGCTGCCATGGCACGATGCCGTGGGCTGGGGGCCTCAAGCTGAGCACATGCTCTGTTCTCTGCCGGTGTGGCTGCTTTTAGATGGTTTACTGGTGCTGAAGGATGGACAGCAGTCCCTGCCACAGGGCTCTAGATGTCCTCTGACCCAAAATTTGTTGTTCTTGCTTGCCAAAGAAGGTTTTGAGCGCTTTTCATCATCCTAATCCCTCCTGCAGCCTTTCTGGCTGCCATGACCAACTCTCCTTTGCTGACATCCCCATCCAAGCTGCTTCACTCTTCTTTGAGTTCACTTATTTGTATTTTCCCTTTTCTGCCTCCCCCATGCCAGATACAGAAATGAGAAGGCATTGCATGCGGAGTTCTATCTGCCCTCCTGGTTCTCCCAAAATCCTCACAGTTTTGCTTGTAAGAATTTGGGTTCATTTTCCTTGGCCTGGCTTCACTTTGTTTAAATGTTTTTCCAGTGTCTGCATACAGTTCTGGTCCTTTCATCTCAGAAAGGGCAACAGAGAATGGAAGAAGGATTGGAGGCAGGCAGTAAGGATACTCAGAGACATGGGAACAGACTGTACAGTGAAAAACTGTAGGCTGGGACTCTTCAGCTCGGAAGAAGGACACACGGTTGGGAAGAGGTCTACAAAATCATGAGTTGTCCAGAGAAGATGGGGAGAATAGACTGCTTGCTGTGTCTTATGACACAAACCTGTCAACTGTTTTTGCCTTGACTGAAGCCTAAGGAAGAAGCCTAAGAAAGCCCTATCCTGTAACAGGTGTTACATCCAAAGGTTGTGCCCTTTTTAGCCCACACTTCTTGCAACACCGGGGGAGAAGCTCTTGGCAAGCCTTTGAGGGATATGCTTAAAAATCCTGCCTCAGAAACATTTTGTAACCATGCTTTCACGTGGAGAGCTCAGCCACAGCCAAGTGGAGCTTTACCAAATTGTTCAACACAAAAATATTCAGAGCTGGGAGGAGAATGAGCTGGACAAATCCCAGCCCAGAGAGGGAGACCTCCAGAGGGTTGTATGTTGCAGGAACCCTATTGTTGGGGAAAACGCTTGTGACTGAGACTCTAATTTTTCTGCTGCACTGCCAACTCCACAGCAGCCTGCGAGGGTGAGTGATGTGGCCCCCTGGGCTGGCCGTTCTGTTCTAGGGAAGGAATCTCTGACTCTGCCCTGGAAAGTGGAATTGAGACGGTCCCACATTTTCTAGGACCACAAGAGGGCAACCTGAGAGCATCCTGCAGCCAGCAGGCTCAGCAAGACGACCTGTGACACTGCTGGGATGCAGGTGGCATGGGCAGCTCTCAGCATCAGCCTGTCTGGAGACCACCCACCTGAATTAGCCAGCTGAAGGCTGCTCCCTGGGAGCTCTTTCATTGCTCTCAGCTTCAGACAGATCCTCAGAAGTCAGCAGTCAGCTCAGCCAGCAGAGTGATGTAGCTGGGGGCAGCAATATCTCCCTGCACATGGGCCAGACACTTGGTGACAGCAGACCCGTGTAAGTGCTGCATGTGGCCAGGCCGGGGGATGCAGGGTACCCTCCCTCGTCCTGCCTGCATGTCCACGACGAAATGTCTTGGTGAACGTTCACTGACACCTGCCTTCCAACAGGAGGGTCCAGCATCTGCAGTGATGCTGCTGGGCTTGGCCAGTGGAAGAGATGTTAAACCACACAGAAGTTGGAGGATCTCAGCCTTGCCATCCCTTTTCATTTCCTTCTGCTCAGAAAAAAAAATAATAAAAAAAATTCAGCTTTGGCTGTGACTGCTGAACTGGGCAGTGTCTCCAGCTCCCACTGGTTTCTGCAGACCAAAATCACTCATGGCCACTGTTAGAGCATTACCATTCTGGGCACTTTTTTGCAACAGCCTGTATAATTAACCTGCAAGGGAAAGCTTCCTCTGCCTTTACAAGAAAAGGCATGACAGAGAAAGAGCTTCTGTTAGCAGCCAGAGTTACAAGAGCGTGTGTGTGCTGCTAATGCTGAAAATGCCACCAGCATCTTGTAGCAGAGACAAAGGAGGACATGATTGTGAGGACTGAAGTGCAGAAAATTGCTTCTGCAGTAGGATGGTACAGGTTGCTCACAAGAAATGAAGAGATGTTTGCAAAAGAGGAGAAGCAAAGGGATGTTTGGGAGACCCTTTTTTGACAGGCTTTAGACAGGGAGAGAAACAGTGTAACTGATGGCTGTATGGTAGAGATTAGGACAGCCACCCAAGGGAAAAAGAAATCATTGGGGCATATAGGGGGTACTGTTTACCCCTCTGGAGTTATTTGCAATGAAGAATGCTAGAAAGGTTTTGCCTGCTGAAGATATTTTTACCATAGAAATAACCAGCTTTGTTTCCACTCTTGCTTCCACTCCAAACCTGCCCACACAGCCTAAACAGCATTTTAAGCCTCAGCCTGTAGTAGCCTGACTCACTGAACTATGGATCCTTTCTCTCCTAACCCAATTACAATTCGCACAGCTTATGCTGTACCTGCACAGCACACTGCTGGCATCAAGCATCCACACTTCCCTATTGCATTCTGAACCAAGACTCAGAGCATTTGTCTCAAAGGAACATCCAAATAACCTGGCTTGAACTTCTACTCATCACCAGCTGTCAGATCTTATTCTGTGCTCAGAATAATTTTTTGGGTTGGATAGAGCAGACCCCTTTGGGTCTGAAGACTTAAGGTGACAGGATAATACTTGGCTTTTTCCAGCATGTATTATTTCAGACTATCTGACTACAAACAATCCAAACCAGCTACTAGAAAGTCTCATCTGCACATCAAGATCAGGAGATGACCTTGAACCATCACCTCCTAGACTTACCAGTCAGCAGCAGCTGTGCTGCATGTGGTTCAAGCCCACATCACTGCCTGCTTTAAAACTGGCCTTCCCCTAAATTTAGGGTCTGCAGGCAGCAAGTGTCCTTACCTGAGGGCGAAGCATGGAACTTGCACCCAGAGGACTAATGTTCATGTGCCCAGTTTGTGAGTGCAGCTTACACCAAGGCTTGGGTTCATTATCCCTGCAATACTCTAGTGGCATTTCATGCAGGCTGTAGCAACAATCCAGGAGTAAAGGGAGCAGAGCTCTCTGAGACGGAGCAAGTGCAGGAGAAGAACTCAGCACACACAGACACACTGCCCAGGGAACTGTACCCCAGGCACACTTTGTTGCGAATGACTTCACAATTTGCTCAGGGATTAAATACTTCCTTGTTTAATAACCTAATAATTTGGGCTAGTTTCATGCTGGACTGTTGGAAAGTTCACTGGCTGGAGTCATCAGCCAGGCCTCGTGTAAACGGCTTCTCCAGCTCTCAGCCAAATGAGCTGTCCTCATCTTTGGGTCCCCCGGCGAGTGGCTCTCGGCACAACCTTCTTCTGAAGGGCTTTGTTGTTCATGCGTGTGCCTGAGGCCTTATGCTCTGCAGGCTTTCTCACCACTTCTTGTTTGAGCTGGAAATGCACCTGGAGAAAGAACAAAGATAACTGTATTTTACACTCTGTGTGTGTGTGTGTGTGTGTGCTGCTGGCTCAGGGGTCTGCAGGACCTGCCTCTGCCACTTGCCTTAGAAGCTGACTCAGGGGCCAAGTCAAACAATAAGGCATCTCAGCCATTGTTAAAAGAACTCAGTTCTTAAAGCAGATGTATTTTTTTTTTCCTCCTGTTGAAAATGTACTAACAATGAACTATGTTTCTTATGCAGAGTTTCTTCTGTGGCAATGCAATGTCCTAGGATGGTTTGGAAGAGGACCTGCGAATGGCAAGGGACTGAGCTATGTTCTTTATTCTCCTTTTCTCACCAGTGAGTAGAGACATAGCTTTGCTTTGCATCTCTGTGAATATTTAATACACAGGATGGTTTAGGACAGACAATTCTTTTTCAATTGCATCTTGTTAGCTTAATCAGTCTTTTAGCAACCAGTACTTCCAGTGGATCCAGACAAAAAAATTCTGGGAAAGAAACCTCCATCCACTATAGCCACACAAGCAGGTACAAGAGGGAGAAGGGGACAGAGAGTGTGTAAAACACAGCATCAGATAAATGGGGAATGGGGAGGCCATAGAGAAAGGTGAAATTGGAATGGGGCGGTATGGGCTTCTTGGGAGAGGGACAGGGCAAACAGTGAGTATGGGCAGTGTTGCAGAAATGGGAACAAGAGGGCTCCTGTGAGGGGAGATATGCAAAAATCAGACCATCAGGGAACAAATCAGTTTTCTACAGCAACACTGTAAAAAGAAAATCTGTTATAAAAAGGAAACCCAAAGAGCTGGGTGCTTAACCTAGCAAAACAAAGGACTGGGCTTGACAGCTCCCTATAAATACACCAGAGAAGAAAATGAGCTATTTAAAGCACAACATTGGCATAAGAACAACTAGGCATAAAGTGACCATAAATAAATTTAGTACGAAAATTAGAAGGTTTCTAATCTTTCTTTCGGAGAAGAGGGCAGTTCTGGAAGAATTTCAGAGGCTGGGCAGAGTGGGACGAAGCGACGGAGGGTGGGAGAACAACCACAGTGTATTTACAGCAGAGCCTGACCAGTGTACATACAGGAAGCAAATGATGTGCCAGGATGCCACAGATGGTGGGGAGGAGGTCCTGCTGATCCTTTGAGGACCCTGCATCTGTGGTTCCACCTCATTCACAAGGCAACATCAGAAGCAGGGATCACCATTCACTGTTTTTACAACCAATTTCTAGTTGTCCAGCCAGCCCACAGAAAGGCACTGTAGGAGACACACCAGTGTCAAGAGCACTTCATTTCCCAAAGGTGCTTGGCTGTTCTTTGCTGGAACTCAGTTCCCATTTGTCTTCAGTGCTCTCAGCAAAAAGAAAGGCAGACTTCAGCCCATTCCTATGAGTTTGATAACATGTTTGGTCCCAGGCAGAATGCAGATGATAGCAGAGTGCCGAAACCCACAAAGCTGGGGGGATAACTCTTCCCTCAGGGAACAGATGCTGTCTCCACATCATCTCATCATTGAGAGTGAAAAGGATGGAGGGAGAGCTGAAGAGCAGCAGTCCCAGCCAGCCAGGAGCTCTTCCATGGCCAAGAGGCAGAAGGACACAGGAGCTGGTATGGCAGCCCAGTGTAGCTGCAAGGCCACACTAAGGAATTGAAAGGAACATGGCATTGTTTTCACGCTGTTCCCTGCTGTGAGCTGTGTGGAGCCTTGTCTGCCAAACTAGATAACCTACAGCCACTGGAAATGGTCTACATCTTATCTCCTTTCTCTGCTGCTTACTATCCCCAACCATATTTCTTTCTCCCTGGGGAGAAGATATTTTGAGAAACCCTTGTGAGTATGCAGGATGACTCACCAATGAAGGTGCAGCTGGGCCCACTGTTGTTGTCACTGTCAGGGGCTGGTACCCCTCTGCAGAGGCTGTGACAGTGTAAGTGCCAGGCAGCAGCAGACGGAAATAATCCCCCATATCACCTGGAACACAAGGTAGGAAAAGAAAGCACTCAGGATGCTCAGGGAGCAGAGTAAAAGACATTCCAGTAACTCTTGTTGAGTTACTTCCTCTAGGATGTGTAGCCTTCAAAACCCAAACTTTTTTTTCCCCAAATCTGCTGGCTGCCTCAAGGCTGGATTCACACTGGTACACTGCAAGTGATGTCTCATTAGTGCCATGGAGGAGAGGTCAGTGTGCAAGCAAAAGCCAAATGAAAGGGGACTGCACAGCAGCATTGGCCATGCCTGTGTAGGTAGGCTGCAAAGCTGAGCACTTGTCAGTCAGATGACAGCAGACCTAAGGACAATCACAGCTCCAGTCTGACTCCTCATGCATAACACAATCTAATTCTCGCTATACACAATTTTGCACACGTTTGGGTTAGCAAGTTTTAGTTGCTCATTAGGTCAGCTGCTCCCTGATTCCCTGCATAAGAAAGCCCCAGGTGCACTTAGACAGTCTGTGCTCTGGTGTGCTTAGGGACAGGAGATGGCCAACAGTGAGGCAACACCACATTATGGATTGCTTTGGAAATCTGAGTACAACCCCATCAATGTAACTGGATGGGTATTGCAAATTGCTTCAGGGTAGATCTGGGAGCACAGCTTCACCATGAATGTGGTAGAGCCCTGGCACAGGACAGCAATTAGGCTGTGAAATACACATCCTTGGGATCAAGTGAGAATTTGCTGGAGGGACTAGTGCCTAATCAGAGCCAATGCTGGGGACAATCTTTCTCCAAGCTGGAGGCTTCAGAGAGCCCTTGGCAGCCAGCTTTTCTGCAATTCTGTGATCCTTCTTATGCAGGTTGGCATAATAGGTGCCAAATATCAGTGTTACTGACTCACAGACCTATAGCCAGAAGGAGCTTTAATGATTTCATAGTCTGACCTCTGAAGAGCTGTAGCATGGACTATTTTCTGCAGGCAGTCTGTAATGTTCGGTCTGCTTGGAGGAGGGTGTTCATGGAAAGGAGGTTAAAATTGGCCAGCAAAGAGAAGGCTTGAGTAGATTATCTCCTCAACTGTCCCTCCCAGATAAAATAGGAGCTGAGTTTCTGAAGTCCTTTACAATAAGGTTTGCATTCCAGTTCTCACCTCTGTCTTTCCTAGGCTTTCCTAAGCCCACCCTGGTCAAGGATAAGGATAAAGCATATTTCTCCCAGCTAGTGTCTTTGGGAAACAAACCATGATGGCTCCCATATTAGAGCCTCACCTGCTAACTTCACCCACATATTCAGACATGTAAGCAGATTGACAACCCACCAGAGGTGATGTCATGGCTGATTCCCTGGACAGAAATCACTGCTCCTGCAATGCCATTGTTGTTCTCATCTGACACCATCCCTTTGATGCCCTGGTGAACCTGCAGGGAGGAAAACAGACTGATGGGTCAAGGCCCTTCCTTTGCTCAAGAAGGTATTGCCGAGCAGGGCAGAGCTTTGGGGACAACCCTACCTTTCCCTGTACCCTTGGTGATCCTGGCTGTCCCCACCAGATTCAGTCTAGGACACAACGGCTTCCCCAAAGGCCACCAACAAGAGCACCCCGTGAGCTCCACCACCAGCTCCCTTCCCCACCTGGTGCCTACTGGTCCCCTTCCACCAGGGCCCATGGGGATCTGCAGCAGAAGGGTGTAGGTCTCAGGACTGCCCCTTTACCTCTTCAATGAAAGCAACAAGGGCCTCCCGGTTGGCCATCCACTGCCGCTCCAGGTCCTCCTCAGGGGGAAACTTATTGCAGCTTAGTTCCAGGGTGATTTCAAAGCAGTTGGTGTAGAGGTAATTGAAGTCCTGCATGCCTGGAAGAGAAGAATAGCCCATGGTCAGGGCATGGCTCCCTTCCTATTCCCATGTCCCCAGTCATCCTGGCCTGTCTTTCTTTGACCAGAAGTGTCTGACTATCCTTCTCTGCACCACAGGCACAGCCCCCCGCTGTGTGATAGCGCAACTAGAGCCTTCTCCACGCAAGCAGCCCTCTCCTTGTAGCTGCCAACTCTATTTCAGGTGGATCATTCACTGACCTGCCTTCAGAAGCTCAGAAAGGTTGGGTACCACAAGGGCCTATATATCTCTTCCAGTTCCTTTTCAATCTTTTGTCTAGTCTGAAGTGTTGATTTTTCAGTTTCCTCATTCCTCATTGTGCCTTTTTTGATAATATTTTTCAGGAACCAGCAGCTGCCTTCCCTTTGGTCACAGTTTGTATTTTGATGGGATTACACCATAGGATTTTCAAATACACTAACAGATTAATGCTTCCTTTGTCTAGAAGTACATAGGATGAAGGTCTCTGCAGACCTTGGCTATTTCTGTGTCTCTTTCCCAAGCCATTTCAAGTACTCCCAAGCCATTTCCTGGTCTGAAATACAAACACCAGAATGGTGTCTAGTAATGGGCACAATTCTATTGCCACAGTCCTTCCGCAACCCCTCCTGTCCCGAGGTTTCTTGTCTATCCCTACACCTCTTTTTGCTGTGGGGGGTGCTCACCTGTCCAGCCCTTACCTTTGCTGAGCGAGTACCAGGATGCCCCATTTGTGATACCATCAGCAAAGTAGTCCCCACAGTTCCAGCCCCGGTGCATCCAGCTGTGGGCATAGGAGTAGGTCTTGGCCAGCTAGAGGGAGAGCAGCCAGTGGTCACCGCTCCAGCCCCGCACGGCTGGAGAACCTGCCTGGCTCTGGACAAAACACACTCCTTCCTTTGCTGAGGAGCATGGCAGGGAAGTCAGACAGGAGAGAGTTTCTGCATTTTACTGCCATAGAATACAACATGAGGTGCCCAGGACTGCTACAAGATGTAGGCAGATAAAGGTGAAGAAGGAAGAGCAGTAATCTGGCAAGCTGGAAGCTTGTTGATGGCACAAATGGCTTCTGCCCTGCTTCTGCTGAGAAGAAGGGGAGCAGAAGGCACTGGACCTATGCAGGGACAGTTGGCCTCACACAGTAAATGGCACTAACTGGGGGAAAAGATACATGAAGAAAAGTAACCAGTATCAGTCCTGGCAAATACCAGATATATATCGGGGAATTTGGATTAGGAAAGAGTTTGGGCAACTTCTGGTACTAACGACGATTCGTTTGTTGCCCTTATTAAGATTACTGTTTATTTTTAGACACGAAGGCAGGGCTAAAACTGGGCTGCTGCATCCAAAGCCAGTCCTTTGCGTAAGACACAGTTTAAGACAGACTGGCATTTGCATTTTCTAAGACAAACTCTATTCCCTTGTCTTATGTTTCAGATTCCAGTATTCCAGTGTAATGTCACTCAGCAGGAAAACTGTTACTTCTCTACATTTCTGAGTCCTGAGGCCAAGTGGGTATCATGAGCCTACACCCCAGACTGCAGCCTCTTTACATCTGGGTCTGAGCACAGCCTTGATCCCAGGAGGTCCTGACAAGCCCCTGCAGATTCTGCTTCCAGAGGAGGCTGAACTCCAGCTTCGACTTATTTTTCTCATTAACTGTTCTGATGCAGACTTTTTTCTTGTGCTGGGTATTTCCTAATGGAAGCAATGACTGAAGGCATTGTTTTCTGGGATAATGAAGAAAAACCACGAACCTCAGCTAGTACTAACAGGATCAACAGCATGGATTGATGCATTCCCTGATGTCTGCTTATGCTACTGGAGCTCTTGCTGTTTGTTGTAATTCTTGTTCTTCGCCATCCATAAGCCCCTGCTGGGCACCCACCTCCCTTATCCTGGTCTCAGCAGGCCTCCAGTCACCCCTCTAGGGAAAATCCCCTATGCATTCTAAGATGGGTTGGCAAAGCTGGGTGCAGCTTCCAGCTTTGGAAGAGCAGGTTATTACTGAGTATGCCAGTGGTATCTGGGTTATGGGGAACCCAAGCACAGCACGGACAAGTAGGGGGCCCCTGAGGGTTAAGATTGGCCTCTCCTTGTGGTGGGACCGGCTCACAGGGTGGGAGTGTCCTGACTCCTGAGCCAGTGGCTGGCAGAAATGCTGTAGTCTGCTAATGATTATTTCCAACACGTTTCTTGGCTCAGCCCCTGCATGACGCAGTGACCAGAGCTCTCGTCCTGATCTCACTGTGCACCCTGCCAGGAAATGTCCTCACCCAACGTGGCCACGCTCACCTTCTGAAATAACTTATCATCAGGAGTAGGCGTGTTGACAGTGCGCCGGTGGCTCCTGAACCGCTGATCCTGGGACTTGTCATAGGGATAATTTGCCACCACTGCTCCACCGTGCAGATTGGCTGAGAGCACAAAGTTGTAGCTGCTGATCCACTGGATCACAGCCAATGTCTCTGGCTCCACCTGGAAGGACGAGAGAGAAGGAGACAGGGAGAAGAGATCTCTGTGCCAGCTGCTGCTCCATGCCCGGCTGTGGTGTGATTTGCCATGTCAGACCCTGTCCTGCAATGTGTCTGCTGCAGCTCTTGTAGCTTCCTTTGTTCTCCACGAACTGCCCTGGTACACAAAGCAGCTCCCTCAGCACAACCCCAAGACCTGAGGCACAGGTGTTAGCCAGCATGTGACACCTCCTCTGCCCTGTGCATTGCAGCCTGCTCCCTTAAGCTGGCTGTGATGTCAGAGGCAGAGGTGCAAGCTGTGATTCGGGACCAGGACTGTATCATTTGTCTGCAGGCAGAAGTCTCAGAGAAGGAGACAAGCACTGTGCAAGCCAAAGCACAGTGTATTTGCTTGCATGCTGATTCCTCTAAGAGGATGCTGTAGCCCACATGGAATCCCAGACTGGTACCTGGCTTTTCCAGTTGTCAGGCAGTGGGATGTGGTGATTTGGCCCGCTGATTTCCCTGCTGTAGTACATGAGTGTGTTGAGGTCAGGGAAGTTGCGGTTCAAGTCCACTCCATTGGCATTGTTCCTCCCTGTCAAGTACCCGTTGCTGTCTGGGCCCTGCGGGGCAAAGGTGCATCACAGGGGTGAGTTCAGGTTGGGTGCAGTCAGGTTGGGCAGCAGATAAGCAGAGACTGCCCACTGTGAAAGCACTTCTGTGCCTATGAGTTATAACATGAGTTACTGCTGGCAGGACAATAAAGAGTATTGGTACTGACAGGGAAAATCAGTAACAAAATCTTCTTTTTCCAGGGTGACAGAGTAAGCCACAAGACAAACAATTTACTTTAGCTGAAAGATCCACAGATATCTCCCTGAAGTGAAGCAGGACAAAGAAATGGGTGACTTCTTTTCAGGAGGACTAAGGGGCTTATTTCCATCCCATTTCTCATGTCCCTGCCTGCTTATGACAGTGGTATTCAACTGTCACCTTCCCAGTCTAGGGCAGAGGATTTGCAGTGACCCTTCTGTGACAAATAACTTCTAATGAGAGTAAGACAGGTATAGGAAGTCTTCTTCAGCTGCCAAGGTCACCTGTGGCAGGACATACAACATCAGCCCTTGGCAGGGAGGTGAGAAGCAGCAACAGCAGCTGACAGGGACAAATTTGGCAGGGCACAAAGGGAAAGGATTCCCCCTCTTCCTAGCTGCAGTGAAGAGGATCCCAAAGGGATTTGAAAGGCTTTCTGCCCCTACCGGCGTGGAGGAGGTGATCACTGCCTGGTACCTGCTTGGCAGCCACTTCGTACCCGTCGGGGTTCATGGAGGGCATGATGTGGATGCGCGTGTCATGGATGAGGCGCGTGATCCGCTCGTTGCCCCGGCGGTACTCCTCACACAGGAACTCAGAGAGCTGCAGCAGCAGCTCACGGCCCAGCACCTCGTTCCCATGCATGTTCCCAACATACTTGAACTCTGGCTCCACTGGAGAGAGCAAGAGAGTGACGCCATCAGCCAGGGCCGGAACAGGGGGGAAGAGCAAATGCCTAGCACAGGGAGCCCCAGACAAACCCAAGGGACACCCAGTAAATGGTATAAAATGACCTTTTCCCTTGGAAAATGCAAACCTCAGTGAGGGAGAGTGGCACAGCTCTCATATGGGCTCCGCTTCATTTTGCCACAGCCCCCTGGGAGCAGCTCAGACTCTCCTCTAAGTTGCTGTGGGCCTTTGGAGCACACAGGAGGAGTATTTGCTGGTGGTTTGGTCTTGGGTTGGTGAAAGGCAGCACAAAAGGACCAGGGAGCACTGGCAGGGTTGCCCCAGGCTGCCAGGGCCTCACAGGCAGGTGGCAGGTGGCAGTGGAGGGGACAGACCATTTCTCCCAGCTCTGCTCTTCTACATTTGCTGTCAGTGCCTCTCACCAGCATGGCACATTCCTGGCTCTGCATCTCTCCTTCCCCTTTACCTGCCTCCAAGGTCAAGGTTAAGGCCCTCCTCACCCTCAAGAGAAGAGTCTGGCGAAACCCCCAGCAGCTGAGCTGAATATGGATCAAACTGTCCCTCAGGCAGCTCCAGTATGACCAAAAAGGTCTCTTGCCACTGACTTTTCTAAAATAAGGTCCCAAAATACAGACTTGGAGACCACAGGCAGACAGTGCCTGGAACAGGACTTGCTGCTTTGTTGAAGGAGAGGCAGGACATGTGAGGGACAGGTTGTGCTTTCCCAGAGGGCCTTGTAAAGCAGTTACTTGTGGGAAAATAAAATGTCACATTGCAGGCTGGAGCCAGCATTGGTAGAATGAAAGCCAACAGGGGAATTAAGTTAAAAAGGGAGCCTGACTGTCACATGAAAGAGTCAGGAAAAAAAAGGGTGTTGTTACAAATGTTGGCTTGCCAGATCTTGAGAGCCCCATTGACTGTGAGCTTTCTGGTCACCAGCAGGGATCAGACTCACAGAGGCAGTGTGCAGCCCTGCTGCCAGGTATGATGTCCATCAGGATCCCTGGGGTAAAAGGCATCACATCCCCAGATTGTGAGCTGCTGCTTGCAAAAGCCCCAGTGCCTTTGCTGTATCAAGAAAAAATAAAAAAAAGAAAAAAAAAAAAGGGAAAAAAAAAAGAAAAATGAAGTCTAATTTTAGCTAAAGATTTTGCTTTCCCATGTCTTTTGATTGTTGTGTCTCTGTGCAAGACACCAGAGGTGGGCAACATATTTTGATCTTGTGAGATTTCAGGGACATAAGAACTGATTTAGTTACATAATCCAGTTATTAAAAACACAGAAAAATCCTGGGCATATATACAGCCTTTAAAAAAATAAGGTTTCAGCAAGGATTCTCTTCTTTGTTTGAGTCTGCAGCAGGATTTGTCAGCCTTTTTCAGTATGCAAACCCCTAAACTTTATGTATATGGACACACAAGCTCTAATTACTGCATGTAAGACCATTGATTCTGAGTTTGCTTTTCAAAGTTACTTTTCATATTCTTCAAGGGAATGCACAGTTTCCCAAATTCCTCATGCTACAAGCTGAAAGTGCCAGCCTGACAATGGCCCATGCTACAAGCACAGGTCCATGCTGCCTGCCTGGGGCAGGGGAGATCTGAGTCATGTCCTACAGCCCTTCCAGCTGCTTTCATGTGGTTCTGCAAGTCTAAAATCCAGTGGTGCACTGCCCGTGCCCTTTGCTCATTCCATGCTTTGAATCAGCCCTTGATGTACTGCGGAGGTGCCCCAGACACCCTCAGTGCCACACAGGTTTCCCAGTGCTGAACAGGGCTGTCACAGAGGTAGTCAAGGTGAGAAGCTTCCCATCCCATCTCCTGGCACCCCTGAAAATGATCCTATGGGCCCCAGTGCAGTGCTGCCAGGCATGGGGTGCTGTGGGGTTTGTGGGGGCTGCTCCACCGAGGGGGGCACAGGTCCTGCACAGCCCTGCTGGCAGTTTTCCATGTGACTAGGCTGCTTGCACTTATCAACCCCTGCGTTTAACCACATCAACCAGGACGTGATAAGAGAAAAAATCCCGTGGAAAACAGGGAGCTCTGTCCTTATCTGCAGCTCGGGGACAGAAGGTAGGGATGGGAGGGAGCCCTGTGTGCAGCCCCCCAGGGCACCTGGCTGCCAGGAAGGTCTGGCTCGGCAGCATCTCCAAGCTGCACAGGCAGCAGCAGCAGCAGCAGCAGCAGCAGCTCAAGGGGCCATTGCTGCCAAGGTTCCACAGGGCCACGTGGCAGCAGGTGGAGATCCCCGGGGCCAGCCCGGCACTGGGGCTGCACTGCCCACGGGGCTGGCAGGGCTGCAGAAACCCAGCGCTCTCTCTGCCGCCGTCCCTGCCTGCTGTCCTCCTGGGTTTGCCGTCCGGGGGAGGAAGGGCCGAACACTTTCTCTCCCGTCACCACCCAGCAGCACAGGGCACAGGGTGGGTGCTGTCCTCCTTGCCTGAACAACGCTGTGTAAGGGAGGGAGAGCGTGGTAGCGCAGGCGGAGAGCTGGGATGGACTCGCCTGCGTTCTCGCATTAGCTTGAGTTGAAAACTCGGAGCTCCGTCCAAAGTACGCGCCCGGGCCGCGCCGGAGCTCAGCGGCACGGTGCGGGTGTGCGGGTGCGCTGCCTGGCACCCGGGCACCGCCGCCAGTGCTGCCT